CATCCTAATTAAAGAAAATTTTCACCTCATCTGCAAAATGATGAATGGTTAGACTTAATTTTTTGATGTTGAGATTTTCATCTTTTCCTTTATCATTATGTTATTCTAGTGGGACTGTAAAGGAGCTGCCTCACAGCTACAGGTAATAAGCCATATTGAACCAGAAATCATGATTCTTTTTGAACATTTTTTATTCACTATTTGCTTGGAAGTGTGTGCCAAATGTGTTCAAATTCTTGGCAATTCAGATTGATACAATGATGTTGTATCATGCACTAGTGATGCTATTGTTTTGTATTACATTCCTTCCTGGTTGGAATGAAGTTCTCATATATTTTTCTAACTCACCTTAAGCTTACCCTGCTTCTTAGTATTTTCTCTCTATCTACAAACCACTGGTCCTATCAGCAAAAAAGACAAGGGATGTCTTATTTGCTCTCTCATCACACACTTAAATGAAAATGTGAAATAGAATATAGTACAAAACATAGTACAAAATGTAGTACAAAACGTCATATTTCTTAGATGTTTTATAACAGAAACAAGAACCATGAGTATTAATTAGTATCCACCGGATATACATAAATCAGTCTGTTGAATCTGTTGGGGCTTAGAACATGATACTCCCAAAGTGCGTGGCCTTTGCATGCTGACTACTTTGAGCTGAAAACGATTGATAGGGCCTTAGAAGCAGGAAGGTCACTCTGACCTTCCCTACCTATCTTTCTCCCCAGAAGCAGGTCATGAAAAGCAAGCCATAAAACCTAGGGCGGTCACCCCCTGACCTCCTCCCAGCCCCACTGAAGATCTTCATGTGACAAGTGTTCTACTCCATACCCAGAGGTCAAGAAGAATCTGAAGAAACAGGCCTTGCTGAGTTGTCCCCAGTTTATTATCTTTAGATCAGACTTGCTTTTGTCCAGTGATACTTCTACATGACTACCTATTCTTCACCAAACCTCAGCATTAACATACACAGTTTTCCCTTAGTCTTTGGGTCTTCCCTTGTCATATAAAGCTTTGATAAGTAAATTCGTTATGCTTTATTCTCTTGTTAATCAGTCTTTGTTATAGGGGTGTCCATGAACTTTGAAATAGGTTAAAAAAATATTATATTTTTTCTCCCCTACAGATCTTTATTTGTATTGAATCCTTTTGGAAACAGCTCATTATAAACAAACAATAGAGGATGGCTTACATAATTTTAGAATATATACCTTGTTCTTTTTTGTACAATAATTTAACACTTATGGATTGATTTAAATGGACATTTCAGTCATTTATTCTAAAATTTAAACCAATATAACAGATGGAATTCAGCCACCCAAGAAAGCTTCTGGGCTTTGATTATTCAAATGATTAAGATGCTATTTGTCAACTCTAGTTTACCACCCCTTTTAATTATATAGATAATCAAACTAAGAACTGCTAATTCTGTCTCCTAACTATTAATTGTTTGTAATTACCTACAGATTAAAACTGCATGTGCAATTAACTCAAAGAATTAATTGATACCAGGGAATTGATAAAAGAGAAACAGAACGAGCTTGGCATAAAAGAGGCTCTAGGGACACGGGGCCACTAAAACCAGTGGTGTCTTTGATTTTATCATATCCTAATAAAGATACATTGCATTTTCATTTGGAATTACTTCAGCTCTTTTGGAGGCAGTTGCATAGAATATTTCTTTATTTTTAATTTTATTTAATTTTTTTTAAAGACAGGATCTCCTTCTGTTGTCCAGGCTGGACTGTAGTGGTGCAATTATGGCTCACTGCAACCTCGAGCTTCTGGGCTCAAGTGATCCTCCTGCCTCAGCCTCCTGAATAACTGGGTGCATAGACTATTTCATAAGAGCATTTGGTTTCTAAGTTGACTGAAACTGTATGTTTGAAAAGTTTGAACTGCTCTTGTCTTTGGATCTTTTGCTCAGATTCAGGTGAATTGAATAAATCTATCCATTTACAATATGGAGACAATGTTTGTCGCTATGAGAATTATAGAAGTGGTAAATGTTTTAACTACCTAAGAACTTTTCTTTCCTTCTTTCTTCTTTCCTTTTTCTTTCCTCATTCCTTGAAAACATCACCTGTGGTATACTATCTTATCAGTTTTTTGTGAGCCATTTGTCTAATTAAAGCTTCTAAAATAACTATGCTTAATAGGTTTAGAAATATCTCTCGCCTATGTAAATAACTGATTTATTGTTAACTACATAAACTTGAATAAAAATTAAAATAAAAAGTTACCTCCAGCTGAATATTTAAAAACTATTACCATTATAAACATCAAGATGATGCTAGAAAATGAGTGGAGGTGGTCTGGTAAAATATATTTGATCTTGGAAAAAAGTAGGATTTTAAAAACTTATTTTTAAGTCTTTTCTGTTTCTTCATGTATTAATTCTGTTTGGATTATATGGGGCCTTTTACTCTTACAGTCTTGCTGGTTGGCCTTTCAACCACTGCCAAATCAGGCCTTGGATCCAGGAGTATGCGCGCGCGTGCACAGACACACACACACACACACACACACACACACGGGCTTAGGGCACAGCATTATATTCAGTTTCATGGAGAATACAAAGCAAATGAAAGACTTACATCTAGATATGGAATGAGATATGCACAAAGCAGCAAACTCGCATGAACTTGTGGTATAATAATATTTTTTTGAAAGAGAGTCTAAAATAAATATTGAGGAAGTACAAAGTCAGGAAGATATCAGTATGGGTAGTTATTTAACAAATTTTTTATATTCAAAGATAGCTGCTATTTAACTATAAACTTGTTAAACTGATGTGACCATTTTGGTTTCCTTCCACATTTTCACATTGCCTTTTCCTCAGATTTGTTTAATCTTAGAATATTTCATTCTGTCCTGTTGACCAATAACTGCGATTACTGACAAGATTTCTTTTTATCCCCCCTATCAATATACAGCCTGCTATTGTGCACGTGTATCCACAAATACACACATACATATCTGGAATTCAGAATCTTTATTTCCATGTGGTGTTTCTATGAAGATTGTTGACTCCGAGAAGGGTTTGTGAAGATTTAGTCTGATGTATGACTTTGGGCTCCTTCAAACTATTAGCTTATAACTTTCGACTGCCTTTATGGAATAAACTGGAATTTGTAGCATGTCACCTTCTGTGCCTAGCTTCTAAGGAGAAGTCATTAGCATACATCAGTGTGTGAATGATTACCTTGAGGATTTTAGTGGAGGCTTTACTGCTTCCTGAAGTAGAAAAGTTATAGCTTCATTTTCTAGTATGATACCTACATACTGGAGAAAATAATACACGACTCTTTCAACTACACAAGTCTGTTTTGTGGATAAACAAGATAAAATATTTGAAAATGCTCTGCACTCTCTGGGAAAAATAAGTGGTATAGCTTTTAGTTTCATGTTAGGTTGGGCTCTTCAGTGATCAAGAAGATCCCTCTTTGCCTGTGAGATTTAACCTCTTAAGACCAATATTTTCTCACCAGTGTTTACATAGCTACCTTATGTAGATTGCTAATGAGCCAGAAACAGAGCAATTCCAAGTAAGATATTGTCCTTGCCCTGGAAGAATTTATACATTTAAAAAGGAGATTGGAAAGAGAGCATGATTATCTAAAATATGTGAGAACACTTATTGTAGTAGTGCAACATTTAATGTCATGTGCATTAAGGGAAGTGGGTGGGTTAGGAATAGTGCTGGTGAGTTAGAGAATGCTTTGAATTGGTCAAGAAAGTTTCATGAAGAAATGTAAGGGTTTTCACATCTCTATTAAACTTTTGTGTTATCCTTTTATATACTGCATGGCTTATAAAGGTCCCCAATTAAAGCAGAAAGTGTATGATCTTTCTTTTGCTATCTTCTCATTTACTAATATTCTCAGGTTTTCTAAAAGCTACCCATTATTGGCATTTGCTTCCATTAAAGAATTTCATTTATTCACATTGAGCTGTGATTCAAATGTATGAATATATTGCTTCTTCTAGAGGTTTTACCTTTTTGAAAGAGGGCAGAGACTCTTTTGACTGAAAGGGAAGAAATATATATAAAATTAAAATGAGGTAGAATGTGTAAGTATTGATTAGGATGTCTCTGAGATAACATTACTTTTTTATTATTTCATGTTACTTTGTTGCCTCCCTGTAGGACACTCAACTTATGTTCCTATAAATAAATTGAAGCAATGAAATGAGAGAATTGATTACTTCTGAGTTTTCTCTAAATTCATGTAAAATTAACCAGTCCATGCATGACTCTATTAAATCGAAAGTTTCAGGAAAGAATATATGTATATGAATAAATTTTAGAAGGAAAATTGGAAATATGAAAACAGTTTGATTCATTTGGATGGCTGGATTGAACTGAATTTTTCCCTTTTTAAAATGATTAATATCTCTGAGAAATAAATCTTAAATCTCTTCCTCATTATTAAGCAAAAGAAAAAAAGGTTACTGCAGAAATCTCATTTAACAGCTACTATAAGACAGAATAAATATGTGGGTATATGCCAGCTGACCTTTTGCTCTTTCAACCTATTTAACTTAAACACTTTTGATAATTTCATTTACTTTGTAATTTCAAAACTTGTGCCTTCATAATAATTCTGAATTTTCCTTTGAAGTACTTATATATGAGAGAGAAGTTTTATTTTTGTAAGTGCCATTCAGAAGTATAATTTTGCTTTAAGCCTCCTTTGAAGAAAGAAGTTGATGTTCTTGAAGAGAATGAACCTATTAGTTTTCTGATGGGCACTGTATGCAATAAAAACACGAGAGCTTTACTGTATGAAGGAACCCATTAATTGAGGCCTCTGTGCAGTGCTATCACTTCTTCATCTCTCTACGATTAGATGACAAGATGTGATTTTAATACAGAATAGTGAGCCCATAAAGATGATTTGCTTTCCTCTATGTAACATTAACCAATATGATCAGTATGTACTTTTCCTAGATAAATATTGTTTTAACCTACATTTGTATTTCTCACAAAGCATTATACGATTGGAGAGGAGCTATAATGAAACGGTCTTCCCATTTGGCTCAGGATTCCTATCGGATTAGTTTCTCTGGATCATCACCACTTGAATTTCAGGATTTTTCTGTAAGTATTTGTAAAACAGAACATAGAGTTCAGTTACCATTTTCCCCAGCAAATTATTGGGTTAATTTTGACGAAAACACGTGAGATTTTTAATATGGACCTCCTATTTCATTCCAAAGATGGTTCTCCACTGAAATTTGTCTTTTTTTTTGAAGTGATGCTTTAGTTCTGTTGTGTGTTTTATGTAAATCTTGCTGATCCCCTTAACTCCCAGATATATGTATTATTTTTTACTTGGAGAACACTAGCAAAAGTGATCATCACATAGTTTGCCCCAAATGTGATGGTACGGCAACTATGTTTTAACAGTGCATAGACTAGCAAGAAAATATAATAGAGGCCAATGGAGAATGAAGACATCTGTTAAAAGCATGATAATTGAAGGATTAAAAAATCCAAACACCATTTCATAACCACTCATTGATTGTTTCTGGATGAGGATTCTCTAAATCAGAGCATGGGACCTGTGACCTGTGACTTGTGACAACGGAAATATTTTTTAAAAATTGGTTTTTCTATCGGATAGTTTTTAATTTGTCATTTAAAATACAGATGTTTAGTTTTTATATTTTATCTATAAACCAAAACTTTTTAATTATGTCATATTTATCTTATGTTGCTAAGTTCCTTGTGAGTCAAATTTAGTAAAACTAAATTATTGCAACTGTGTTTTAGACAGGGAAATTATATGAATGTTATTAAAGAAAATTATATAAATTTAGAAAAGGATATTATATGACTATTATGCTCCTGAAATGCTAATAGTCTTTGTAATCCACTATTATTAGAACATATTTATTAATCACAGTATATATCTATACTGTTGCCACCAGCTAACAGGATATATATTTCTAATGCATACATGTCCTTAACAAAAGTAATACCTACAGAAGGCTGTTTTCATTATTTTCTAGGAAAGGTGAAAAAATGAACTACAGTTTCTAAGCTTCCCAGCTATGCCCTATTTTACACTGGCAATTTATAGACTGTTCCTAGTTGTGTGAAGAAGTACATTCCTTCTTTGGGGAATACATCTGGGAAGGGTATACTTGATTGTGGAGAGCTCAAAATGCAAGACTGAGAGTGTTTGTTCATTGCTGAGTGGGTAATTAGGAGAACAAAAGGCTGTGGACCATGACTTTGACATAATAGATGGTCTTTTGGATGGTGCACCTGTCAAAAGCATTTGGAGTATACTGGAGTGGAGACCAGGTGGGCAATAAGAGGCCTTTTGCATCAGTCCAGTTAGAGGTAATAAAGGCTCACATCCTACCCTTGCATGCCAACTACTTTGGCAGGGGTGTGTGTGAATGAGCAGAGGGAGTGAGATTCAAACACTCAAAAATTTGTTTCCTGCTGTTCACTTGCATTGTCAGTTTTCACCACTGGAAGTCTAATGGTTTTATTTAGTAAAGATTTCCCTTTTGTTTATCCTTTAAACTACTAACACCCCCTAGAAGGGATCAAACACCAATTTCTAAGTAGTCTTATTATATTTTAAATAATAAAAATTGTTGAACATTATTTATGATAAATTTTCATTTTATAAAATATATATAACATGACATATGCCATTTTAATTATTTTTAAGTGTACATTTTGGTGGCATTAATCACATTCACTTTGCTGTGTAACCCTCACTACCATCCAACTCTAGAACTTTTTTATCTTCCTAAACTGAAACTCCATGCCGATTAAACACTAAATCTCTATTAGCCCCTCCTTTGATGGCCTGGCAGCCATCATTCTATTATATTTTTGTCTCTATGAATTTGACTACTCTAGGTACCTCATACAAGCAGAATCATATAATATTTGTTCTTTTGTGACTGGCTTGTTTCACTAATGTCTTCAAGGTTCACACATATCGTACCATATGTCAGACTTTCCTTCTTTTTAAAGGCTGAACAATATTCCATTGCATGTATATACTGCGTTTTGTTTATCCATCCACCCATCAGTGAACACTTAGTGCTTTCATCTTTTAACATTTTAAATAATGCTGCTGTGAATGTGGGTCTGCAAGTATTTTTTGAGTTCCTGCTTTCATTTTTGGGGGGTATCTACCTAGAAGTGGAATTGCTGGATTGTGTTGTATTTCTCTGTTTAATTTTTTGAGGAATCACCGTATCATTTCCCATAGTGATTGTACCATTTTACCTTCCTACTACTAATCCACAAGGATTCTAATTTTTCCACATTTTTTCATATTTTCTGGTGTTTCACATCCTAATTGGGTGTGAAGTGGTAAGTCATCTTGATGTAAGATATAAAAGTAACTGGGAAAACTGAAAACAGAAGAGCCTGCATTATTAAAGGAAGAGTGGAGACAAGGACACAGGAAACCTAGTTTTTTATTTTATTGGAGGAGAGATAAACATAATATATGCTAGTTTGAAGCACTCATTACAGCTTAGCTAGTCTTATCACAACCTTAATTAAAAATAAAAAAGTCACTGTAGGTATGCTTTCATTAGGCTAGAAGAAAACTATCCCCTTTAAGCCTGAAGTATTTTGTATCCTTTTATGTTTTTAGTTCTAATTAAATAATAATTCAGTAATGCTATATGTCTTTGTTTTAATGTTTATTGTTTTACAATTGTATTAAAACTTCCAGGCATTTTAAACAATGGCAGATGGATCCCTGAAACTTCTTTATGTGAAATTTTAAAAACTGCATCCTGAAGAAATGGTTACTAATGTTACTTTTTATGGCCTCTGAAGTACTGAGATATTTATAGTCTTAATTATCTTGAAGGATAATATTTATCTCAAGTGAGTGAGACCTGTGACTATAATCCCTCATGTAACATAAAAACGTAATACCAAATTGCAATTGTATAGGAAAGACCACCATCTCCAGCTTTCATGCTGCAATTTCATATCATCAGTCTTCTTTAAAAGGTTTGCTAGCTTTGGGATGTTTGAAGCAATCTTGGAACACACAACCTAGAGGGCTATAGTTGTGGTGAAAAGAATCCTTGGTATTTATCAAAATTCTGAGATGCAAAGCTCGATTTACTTGTCAACAGTGTTCTTAAAAATAGCTAGGATAGCAACAAATATTGACAGAAATTTATAAGTAGTTAATTTCTAGTTACTGTTTGGAAACACAGAAGAGAGTGAAATAACATTTTCATTAGCTGTCAGTAAGGTAAGACTCCCCTGAGTGAGTGGCTAATAGGGAGCTAAGGGTCAGGAAGGTATCCCTGACAGGAGCTCTGCCATTTGGTGATATTCTGGAATGAGAATGACATGACAAAGGAGTGTTGTGCATGCATGCATGTGTGGTGTAGTGGTGATAGGTCCAGAGGTTGCAGGACCAGTGGTGGGGGAGTGTCCCAACAGCAGAAAGAAGAGTTGGGTTGTCCACCATGGGAGAGCAGGATGCATCTCAAGGATTGAAAGAAGTTCATTGTGGCAAAAGCACAGCATGCTAGACGGAAAGTGGCAAGAAATGAAAGTGAGGAGATAAGCAAGGGCTCATTTTCATCAAGTGCCAGATAGGCCTCCTTAATGAGTTTATGCCTTAAGATAGGAAGATACCATTCCACCATTTTAGCTGCTTAATTCTCAGTGAAAAGAATGTGCCTAACCTGGATGCTTGAAGTAAAAGATTACAAACAAATAGGATTTGTTTTCATACTTGATTGCACTATATAATCATTTTCTTGTTCAAAGAATACATTGTGGACCTCTGGATATATGGCTTCCTGCCCCCCCCCCAATTCCCCCAAGAAGAACATATCTTACATGAGAGAAGAGGAAGAAAAAGAGTTTTGTTTTTTTTTTTTTTTTTTAAGATACTTGGTCATTTATTTTTTAAGATACTTGTAGCTTCATCTCATAAATGATGACAAAAAATAGTTTTGTAGAAATATATTTTTTAGAAATGAAAAAAAAGGAATTTCAAATATACCTTAAGTTCTTTACATCAGGCTAATTTTGACCATAGAATGGGTTGACTAGAGTAAAATTTACATAGTTACAGTTAAAAGCCCATATTTTAATAGCCATGTTGCCTTGCAGCAATAGTAACTGGGCCTGAGGTATATTTTTGTAACTATCATTCATTTTATTTTATTAAATCTTTCCTTCTAGATAAAAATTCCTACCATTGTTCTAACTTAGGAGATACTTATTGGTAAAAATAATGGAGGTACTCCATTCAAAATTTTTTTAGCAGTGAGTAGGTCAAGATATATGTCCAACTATTCTTGCAAAATTTTAAAGAAAGCACTCTTGGCAAGATCTAGATTGTGATGTTACTTAGATATACCAATCTACCACCACCTAAACCACATCACAGTCCTGACCACACAAAATGATTTTCAAATGTGGAGAGTTAGATAAAGAAATATAGTAATTTTGAGTTTGTATTTTTGGATCTTTACATTTGGAAGAGACTTCACAATTTTTCTTTACTGTAGAAGCCAAAAGACTCAATTTAATTCTCTCAATCATAATTGATTCTTTGTTCTGAGATATCTTCATGTGGGAAAGATGTTTGAGGTGTATGAGGCCCACAGTCATTAGTAATACTGTTTACAACAATGCTAGTACTACAGTTGCCAGTCAACATATGCATTCTTTTTTAAGATAAGATAGAGTGTGATTGTGAAATTACACAAGTGAAAACCTAGATGAAAGAATGAAAAGTTGAATGTAGAGAGCATTTAAGTAGATATTAGGCTAAGAGAATGAACAGACTGTGCCTGCCCTGGGGGAATCCCTCCTCCCTACCCCTACCACCTCCTGGGAAGCGAGGTATGCTTGTTCTCTAGTAAAGGGAACATTAACTAAATTTCTTAAAAAGTAATGAAAAAGAACAAACTGTAAAAAGGCAGCCAAAAAAGGCAAACATCTGTTACTGAACATGTCTCACTTGACTTCCTTTTAATGTTCTTAGGAATAAATTTATGAACTAGGTAAGGTTTAGCACTAATTAGCTTGTTTTCATCAAACAAAATGCACCAGACATGGATGTTGAATATGAATGA